AAAAAAAATTGCTTCTCACATTTTCCTTAAAAATAGATTTATCTTCCAAAGTACTTATTTTCATAGGTAATATTACTTTCAGTGACTCAGTAAATAAATATTTGAAAATTTATCATTTTTAGTTTTATCATGGTAAATAGTGATAGAACTGACATAAAATAAAGATCTTTGGGTCTTCAAAATTTTTCAAGACCAACAATCACTGACATAGACTATCTTAGCTGAGAGCTCTGTGCAGGTAAGACCTGGATTACTCAAGCATTTCTTAGCTATATCTTTATGGTATTATGTCCCTACATTTCAGGATATTTTGGCTATTTCTACATGGCAGTAGAGGAATAGATAGATTAAATTTTATAAATATAGTAGGAAGGGCAAATATATGATTGTCTTTATTATCAGATATCAGGTAGATTGCTTATTTTTTAGATTAGATATTAAGTTCTTTTATATGCTATAATAGCCTTTGACTTGATAGTCAGTGACTAAATATAGAAAGACAGATGGTATGAACATACTTTATGCTAACTAATTACAAACACAAACTTTACAAATATTGGAAATCTTAAAAAAAATTACCCACAAATATTGGAAATCCTTATCATGTAGCTGAGAAAGAAGAGATTGAAATACTTGCAACCAATATTGCCATCCAACATCAACTTGATGTTTGAGAGTTGCCATGTTTATACCATGCTTATAAGTCAAGATGGTGGTATTGAGTTAAGATAAAAGCAAGACCTTTGGTTGTTTTATAAAGAACAAAGAATTGACCCAGATTGAGTTTCTCAATTTCAGTTTTAGAAAGTTTTATAGAGAATTTCAGAAATTCAATTCCCCACCAGTGATTGTTATAATCATTTTCCCCCAAGAAAATATGAGTAATATAAATAACAGAGCATGATTTTAAAATGGCTGAAAGATAAGGTAGCTCCTATAACATATGTCTACCAGACTATTCCCATCTAATTTATTGGTTTCATTCTTTTAAAAATCTTTTCTCTTTAGAGTGAAAACTGTTCAGCTTTGTTTTTGATTATTCTCTGATTGATTTTATGGATGAAAATCTTATCCCCGTAATAAAGTTTTACTTTTTGAGTGTTAGTAATATATGTGTTTTACATCATCCATAATGTCCTATAGATATTGATAGACTCTTGATACTTGGTATTTAATTTAAGAGTTGAGATGCAGGAAATTAGTTTCCTAGCTTGCAAGTATTTTTTGAGAATTTATGACGTATAAGGTGCTATTAGGCACCAGTAGTTATGCGTTTGTGAATTTTGCTCTGTCAAGACAGAGTTGACAAGAATTTTAAATGTGGAGATATTGTTTCTTATTGCCTTGAAGGAATTGTTTCTATAAAGTGGAATTTTTATGACAGTAACCACTTTTGTTGGAAATTCTGTTTCTTTTGCAAGTACATTAGGGAGGTGAAGAATTTCAGCATAGAAATTGCAGAGTTATCCTCCTCAGCATACAGTACTGTAGATCAGATCTTTAAATACCCCTGAAAGTACAATTGATTTGGAGTCACATTTGAACTGCTGCCTGCACTGGCAGGCCGTGGGCCTGGTAATACTGGTTTTCAAGAACCTTCTCTTCTTGCCTTTGTTGTTGGCAGGCTCCGAGCCAGGTGTGTACCAGTCCTCAGCATGTATGCCAGGGAGCTCAGTGAGGGAGTTTGGCTTTAATCTCAAGTAGGGATGTTAGAAACTCAGTCATTCCACCAACCTTACTGAGTTTAAAAATCTTGCTTCTTTGGGTATAATTTAAGTGCCCTTAATGCTGACTATGCTGCTAGGCTATTCTGTGACATTTCTTGGCCTTGAGTTTGAATGCATAATCTGATAGATTTCAACAATCATAATGGTACTGAAAATGCTATTTAAAAGAAGTTTATAATGTGACATTGTGAATTAAGAGTGTGGGCTCTGCAGACACGCTCTGGCTCTGCCACTTTCTAGCTGTGGCACCTTGAATGAGGTTACTGTCAGTGCTTAGATCTCTATAAAGTAGTAACAGAGCTGTTGGGAGAATTAACTGAGTTAAATGCATATGAAATATCAGCTCATTAGTGTTGGCTATTACTGTTGTTTATACTTGAGCTCATTAATTAGATCATACCCTATGATTTCAGTAATTAATCATAGAAACACCTTTGTCACCATGTCCTCACCCACATTCTCAGTTTCTAGGCTGTGTTCTCTGTTGCCGAGGTCTTTCATATTTTTTTGTGTGAAGGTGATCTCTCTGGTTGGGACAAATGTATTTCAACTAAGTTTCGGGTTTTGAATATCAATACCTGCTCAGTTATCTTCCTCTATATGCTGCCATTGGCAACAGTCAAGGCATGCCTGTTGTTAATTAATCATCTCTACTGAGAACTTAATTAGTGTCTTAATTAGGATGATCATTGAGTAGCAGGCAGCATCATCCTGAGCCAGCTGCAAGTTATTGGCCAGCTCCAGCAGCCCTCTGGTTCTCTGAAAACTTAAAGAAAGAAACCTGTTGTGTTTCTATTTTATTGTTGCCTTCTTTGAAGAAAACTGGAAGATCACCAGTTTCTGTGATGCATTCATGTCCTGTCACTTATATCCACTTATAACAAGGTATTGTATCCACTTATAATGGATCGATCAGAAAACCAAGATTGTTATTGAATTGTTTTGATTGTACTAAACAAGCTGGAAACACGTTGTTTGCAAGGGTTGAAAATTAGTCTCTGTATTTTGAATATGACAGAGTATTTCATTTTTCTGTTGAAAGCTAAAGTTCTTTCCTTCTGGCATCATTGTTTTTTAATATACTTTTTTGAAATATTGCCATATTGTTACAGGATGAAATCATACTCCATTTCTTTCTCTTTACCCCTCAGGAAAAGAGGGAAAGTGAGAGAAAACTAGCATCTTTTTGCCTTATTTTTCTACATAAGTGGAAAATTGGGTTGGGGGTGAGAGGTGTGATCAAGTTACTCCCAATACAATGTTTCTCCTAGACCTTTTTAGATGGGATATAACTTTGCAGCATATGATAAAAATAAATGTACTGATGGCTTCTATTTTATAAAAAGGGAGGGGAACCCCTTGAGTGAGGTTTCCAAGTAAGGACAGGTGGTGTGAAATGCAGCTACTTACTCGACCATGATAGGCTTTTAGATGATTAAGGTTAATTTTGAACTTGGTGCAAGGATCAAGCAAATTATTTTGTATCCAACAGATTTGCTGCTGCTTCCAGGCGAAGTGGAGCAATACAGAAACACCGACGCTCCTTCCTACATTCCTTCCATGCCCCAGCCCCTGGCACCTGCAGTAAAGCCAAGGTCCACTGTACAAAGAGTCGACAAACAAACAGAAGAGGTATTCCACGGGGAATTCAATCAGTCTCCACACTGCCTTGATTTTTGTAACTTGTCCTTTCAGAGAAATGTCACTCTACCTATGTAGCTTTGTCTTTTTTCTCAGATTTGGGAAAATTTAGAATTTAAGCTGCTTAATTGGGTCTTTCTCACTGCTGTCGATGTCTGATATCTATATTTCTTTTAAAGCACAGAGAGCAATTATGTTTTCATGTGGAAACTATTTTTGTTTCATGATGTATGCCATGCTAGAGGACAGTGCTACCTGGGGACTGTGAAACAGAGCACATGGGCAATTTTCTTACCTCTTTTCATCTGAGCTGACCATTTTTTTTCAAAAATAATTGTTTCTAAGGTCCTATAAACATTTTATATTAGTTAGGGTGAAGCCAGGCTGCTATAGTAGAGAATCCCAACAATAATTCTATGGCTGAAAGGGGACGGACCTTTCTCGCATGTAACAATTTGTAGAGAGTCTTTCAAGTGAGCAGATGCTCTGTTCCTTGGGGTCATCAGGGAATGAGGTTCTTTCTCTCTGAATCTCCACTAGGTCTTAGGACATTGTCCTCAGTGCTGGTCCCAGAGCAGGTCCTTGACTCACCTGCAGGGACAGGGTATGGGAGCAAAGAGTAGCATGTCCTCCCAAGGTTTAGGACTCAGGACTCTGCTCTCGTGCTCCATTCCCTTGGCAACCACTTAGTCACGTGTTTTTTACTTAGCCTCCAAGGAGGCTGGGAGATGTCATCTGTCCATGTGTTCATGGGGCAATGCAGGAGAATGGAATTTTTGCACACCTTAACTCTCCAAAAGCACGACTCTTAAGTCATTTTTGGCCACCATTTGCATCTCTTCTACATGTCCTAAACAAATATGCACCAGCTGGGGCTGTTGGTACTGGGAAATAATATTTATAGCCCTTTTTACTCCCAACTTTAAAGGAGTCAGGTATTGGAAGTTGTTAAGAGGTTTGTGTTATTGCTTCCTAATAAAACCCGCAGGATATTTCTTGATTATTTAGTCATTCAGGTGCTGAGTTTGATCAGGGAGCAGACCCACATATGGAGCAGCAGACCTCTCCTGTTTTCACCCGCTGCTCCCCTCAGCAATGCATTGCAGTAGCTCTGCCTGTTCTGCTCCCCATCCCGTCTCTGATGAATTCTCTCACTCTCACCCCCGCACCTCTGGCCTGTACCCCAGATCTTCTATGCATGAATAAATAAAAATAACTCTTTGAAAAAGTTTTTTAGATTTGAAATTAGTTGGCAGATAAACTGATAGGAGTAGCCATTTTGAAATTTGCTTTAAAATTGTGAATTATTTTCTCTGTATAGTAAGAAACTAAAATTTCAAAGTCATTTCTAGCAGAAATGGGTTTCTTTTAAAGACTTGTTCATATTCTTGACTCAGTTGTGACCATACAAACTATTGGACTGGCTGTAGTCTCACAGCTATCATAAGAATTGTTATAAAAAATGGTTTTGTTATGCAAGTTTAGCAAGATGTTCAAAGAGTAAAAATGTTGGACTCTCTTCCTCCCTGAATATACAGCAAAATAATATGCAGTTAATAACAAGTCTTTGAAGGATGACTGGATAAAAATCATTTTCTCAGGGAAAATGATACAGATACCATCTAATTTCATCTATATGTGCAATATAAGGGCACTAAGTGGATGAATGGACCAAAAAAAAAAAAAATCAACTGGTAGATAGTGAAAATCAAATGAGTTTACCAGAGGTGAAGAGAGTGGGGTAGAAGCAAGGGTGGAAGATGTTGGGCCACTGTACATGTTTTTATTTCTTTAAAAAAATTTTTTAAAAATGCTTTTAGTTGACAGGTTTAAAAAATGGAAATGATTCCTGGAGTTTATGAACAAGTCAGTAAAATAAAAGTGAAAACCCTGCAGATGATTGTGTCTTTAAAAAGAACCTAAATTTCTTACCAGAAAATGTGAATATTTTTAAATGTTGTCGTCAACATCTTCATCAGCAATTTTTGTGTTGGCAAAATTATGAACTAGATGAATAACTTTGCTGTTTTTGATATTCAGTGTAATATTATGGTTGGAATTTTTCTTTCTAGCCACTATTTGTTAGAGAACTTTTCAGAATTGTGTAGGATGACAATAGAGCACCAAGTTTCCCTTGGCTTAATAGCACTGATCTAATTTTAAGGCACCCAGTGCCAGTAAAGGGATATGTTTCCAGCAAATGTCCTATAATGGACTTGCCAAAGAGCTATTTTGGGTTAGAGAAGTAGGTGCTCTTTATGACTTCAGTCTCAGATGATAAAAATGTATGCTGAATATCCTGATTACCTCTTAATTACTTCATAAGAATCCATCAACTTCTGATCTGGATTGGATCAATTTAATTTTTTCCATAGTTTTATCACTGGCTTTATATATCTACATTTTCCACTTAGAGTTATTTTCCAAGAATCTGCCACTTTATATTTGTGAATACTTTCTTGTCTTAATGTAAGACAAGAAATTAAATTTAACTCAATTTAGATGAATTTTAGTGTGGGTCTGCTAATCCTAAACGGCCTAACAGTTCTGTATTCCCAAAGCAAGGTCAGAACTGCCCGTTCATAAGAGCGCAACCCTACAAGGTGACTTTCACATGACTAAGAGCATAAAGCTGGATCACCCTGGGGTATGCATCAAGAGGTATGACTGGTAACACTGAGGATGGGTGTATAAACTTACTCCTGACTTACCAGGGACACCCGGGGGGCTATTGACTGATGTATAACAAAGGACCCCAGAGCTGGTCAGTGGAATGCCTTATTGATAAGATTGAAATCTTGATGGGGGAGTCAGGGCTGGATCCACATGCCAAGATGAGAAATACAGTTCCATCCTTCCTCTCCTTCTTCTACTTCCCTTTTTGATTGATGCTGTTTATCAATAAAAAGGCCAGGATCTTGCTCTTCAACAGCATCCTGCATTATGTAGCTTGTTTTCTTTATCAGTATGGGGGTTACTCCACACAACATTTTAGAACTTCTGGAACTGTTTTATAGAGTAAGAGTTCACATTTTGCAAAACAAAATTTCCCCCTTCTTAACTCTCAACCATAGAAGAGGTCATAGAAGATAATTTTAGAGTACTTTAATGGGAGATTTTCTGTTTTTCCAACCATAATGGGACTCTAAAAATTTTCACCTATAAAAAACTTTATTTACCATATTACTTTGTGAGACAGCTTATAGCTAAATGTTGATATTATTCACTTGAGCATTAGTTTTGTTTCTTTAATTTGCCTATGTAGTACTATGAATGAAAATAATTCTTCCTATAACAGTGTCTCTGTCAGAATAGTCACAGGAACAATTTTAAGGAAACTAGCAGTTTTCTAATAGTGTACAAATTCTATTCCCTCAGAGGTTACAAAAAGATTTCAATTAGATTTGAAATTAGACACCTGAAATCCACATATTTCTCTCAGCTCCTTAGGCAAAAATAGCAAGTTAATAACTTAATTCACAGTTGTTTTCTGTTTAGTAGCTAGGGGTTTGGTGTTCCATTGCACACATTTGTCTCTTTGAAATAAATCAGAATTTCAGCTTGTAATCGAAAACCCGTGGAATCTTATAGTTTAGAACTCTAGAATGAACCTAACTTGAAAGAAGAGAATTCCCAAAGGAAGCCACAGTAGCCAGCAGCTGAAATAAAAACAAAATTGCAACCTTACTGGATTTAAAAGTTGTCATTTCGGAGATCACAGTGATAGTTTCTGAATTGCAGCATGCCTAACTCCCCTTTAATTGCCTTCGTGCCCCCTTTTCTTGGAAGACTTCAGAGTCTTAAGTGTGTCCTCATATGCTAACTTAATCAAATGCAAGAAAAGGTCAAAACTAATGCTGTCATGCATATTGTAGGCCTGCAATAAATATTTATTGGATGAACAAATAAACAGAACAACCCTCATGACCTACTAGCAGTGATTTTTCTGATCAAACAGGCTAGGAATCATTCTTTCCTTCTCTGATTGGTTCATTCAGCCAGCAGGTTCAAATTATTCCCATTCTTTACAAAAACAAACCCACCTTACCCTTCCCTTACTTTGGACCCTTCTTAGGCCAGTGTCTATTCTTTTTCCACTCTTTTTCAGAAACCATTAGAATGTACTACTTGGCCTCTTCCTCCTTTCCCCTCATTGTATCTGGCACAATATCCTGGCTCCGGTTACCAGTGTTGATGTATTCAGAGTAAAGGCACCAGTTACTTTATAGTTGTCAAACCCCAATGGAGACCTTTCTGCTATGTATAATACCTTGGATCTTCTCCGACACTCCACCTGTTCTATTCTATTGCCCATTGACACCCCTGGGTTCCTTTGGGTGCCTTCCAATTCAGCATGTTAAAAACTGTTTACCTGTCCTTGCTTCCTTCCTGCAGTCTCACTATTCCTTTTCCATATTCCATCAGTCATCAGGTGCTGTCCCTTTTACTTTCAAATCTTTGCTACCAGTGCCCTGTTCTCTGGGTATACAATGTGTGAGAAGTACACCTTACACAAACAAACCATGCTAATATCTTATAGTAGTGACATTTCTTCTTATTATCTTAAGGTAATACTATATTGTTACTAAGCAGTCTCCCGACTGGTCTCCTGATGACAAATCTAACCTCTGTTTAATCTGCATAGTGACCTCCCAGTTACAATCTCCAAAGTGCCTGAACAGCTTTCTGCTTCGTACAGGTCTGTGCCAATGTCATCACAGATAGCTAAAATTTGAATGAAAGGAAAACCTTTGTCCAAAAATGAATAGATCACCTATTTCAAAAAATCCTCCAGTGACTTTTCATCTTCTCTTGGATAAGTAGCATGCAAGCCACGTCATGATCTGATGCTGTCCCTCTCCACTTGCCATTCTTGGCCTTACTCTGACAATACTTAACGACTGGCAGATCCACACATGTGAAAAGCTCTTTATTTCCACAGTCCGCTCATGGGATTTCAGTTTCTTTTTAAACTTGTTAAATAATACTTGCCTTGAAGATTCTGCTCATGTGTCACCTCTTCTGGGAAACCTTTAATTCCCTCCAAATGCCTTCCTACCTGAGCAGGTGGGTGTTCTTTCTCTGTTCCCTTCATCCCTTAACTATATCACTTGTACTTTATACATTTCACTGTAGTGATGGTTTATGTGTCTATCTCATATTTAGGTGATTTCATACAGATATTCATCTTTATAACCCCTGCAACTAGCACATTGCCTAGAAATTAGTGGAAACATAGAGTTTGTGGAAGGATTGTAAGAGACTGTTTATTTGGCATTTTTGACAGAGGGATGAATTGGCCACATTGCATTGTGGAGTGACAGTCTTAGCCACAAATGGCTTAAAATGCATTGAGTGTCATATTGCAGCATTGCACATGTGAAGCTGTTGCTCTTGGTTTGTTGCTTCTATAATTTAGCATATAGAACATTGGCTGGGAAATTTAATAATTGCTACTGTGAAAAACTGTTTCTAAGTGAAGAAAATTTTCTTTAAGTGTATTTTATACCTTAGTGGATTATAAATAATTCTTATGTGGGCATTCTATTTATTGACTAGCTTAAAACTTTATTTCTTGCAAATGTTTCAGTTAATAACAAATATTATTTCTGAGAAAAGAAATAATGCTCCCTAACAGAGAATTTTTGTGTCTCTAAAAACAGAGAAGAGGCTGATGGTTTGGGCCCACCTAGGAGGACTTATTTGACTTGGAAGTTAACCCTTCCTAGAGTTTAGGAGTCCAGCATATAAGCCTTACTCTTATTTGGGTTGCTAAAACAAAGTGACTGATCAGCAGGGTGATGAGTGGGAAGGCTAGTAGAATTTTCCACACAGGTAAGCTTCAACACCTTCCCTCTATGCTTATACAAGCCACTTGGCATACTTCAGAGAGAATGCATCCATGGTGTTGGATTTATTCATTCATTTCTGTCTTCTTTTTGAGGTTATGAAACCTTGTGGACATAGGTTTTGTGTTAAAATATTTTGTGTTAAAGCGGTGGTGAGGAGGAGGGGTGTATTACAGTTTGGAGTTGCTGGGGTTTTAACACAGTGGGTTTGTCTTACTTTGAAACTGTGTTCCAGACCAGAAGGGAGTGAGTGAAGCATGGTGACTATAACTGGTAAAAATGGCTGTAAGTAAGAATGGCTCAGAATCTTAGTCAGGTTCCCAGGCCTCAGAGCGGGTTCAGTGGAGTAGGCATTGGATGCTGGGCCTGTACCAGGCCGAAAGGCCAGGAAGTAGGTCTCACAGCCGACTGTATACACTAGACTGCCTGTCCTCTGCCAGAATTCCTTACCATCAGCATGGGATGGTGTTGTGGCCAGGCCTGCCAGCCTCGGTGGTTACTGCTAAATAGGCACACAGCAAGGATACTTATACACAGGAAATGAACATAATGTGTTTCTTCATTTGAGCTGGTCTCAGCAATGTTGCCCAATTGTGACTTTGACTGTGATGATGATAAACTTCATCTCAGAAAGTGAATTCAATAGACAGATCAGTGCATCTGCAGACAGATTCACTTCCTGTGTACAGACGCTCTTTGGAAGCAAGTTGTGGTGTCACGTGGTACCTGGGAGTGTGTTGTTTGTGATAGATGGTGTGGTGCGGATCCTTTAGATCATAGTTGATGCTGTGAACCATGCAGCCCAGGTGTGTAGCCAGCTGTACTGTCAGGTTTGTATAATTCACCAACAGTGAAACCGCCTAAGGGTGTCTTTCTCAGGACAAACCCCTGTCGTTAGATGATTTGTGTTTGCTTTTTAGAAAAGGTCTTTTCACCCAAAAAGCTATGATTTGGTTTAATAAAATCTTCAAGGCTGCTGTTTTGCTGGTGTTTTTGTTGAAAAAGTGAAATTTTATCGGAAGTAGAGTGTCCTGGATTCAAATGTTGCTTTTCTCCCTTACTAATTATGTTCCTTACTTTTCAGAGCTTTACAAGGTGAGTGTGACAGTGGCCAAGGCTGTTGGGGGGGGGGGCTGGCAGGTGGTGGGAACTCTCCAGGCATGATCTTTATCAGGGAAGCCTACAGGCGCTTTCTAATAAGGAGGAACCGAACAAGTCTCTGAAATTTTTTCTCTTGCTGGTTTTACTGAGAAAGCATTATATATGATGGGATCTTTGCTGTTAGCACTGCACATCTAACTGCAAGATAGAACCTGCTGAACACATAGGCGATACGTACCTTCCATGTTTTTTCCCCCCAACCTGTAATAACAACACTTGATTTCCGAGCTAGATGATCTATTTTCAAAGAATTGCAAGAGCTACTCAATGAGATCATTCTTCATACAAGAATATTTAAAGCAGATTATAGCTCCAGGGCATTTTTTTCATTCTTCCATAAACCATAATTTTCAATTATTTTAGCATCACCGTGCATATTATAGTTATATAGAGGTGCTAGATGATTTCATTCATCACACCCCATGTGTTTTTAGAGAGACTTTTTAGGAAGTGATACAATGATACTTTTTTTAAATAAAAGATGTATTTGTTTATGCATATAGAACTGGGGTATAGGCCAGAGGTGCAGGGGCAGGAAAAGGATTCACCAGAGACAGAGGGGGGAGCAGAGCTGACCTACTGGTTAAGTACACTCCTGAGGAGAGTAGCGGACGGGGTCAGGAGAGGTCTGTTTTTCCACATGGGTCACTACCCTAGCCGGGAATTGAACTCATGCTGTGGCGGCTTTAACTTGGTAGTGCTATGCTTTAACCCTCTGCGACACCAGAGAGGGCTCCGATACAATGATATTTAAGGCATTCCATTTTTTTTTTTAAGATTTATTTATTTATGCACACAGAGCTGGGGTACAGACCAGAGGTGCAGGGACGGTGAGAGGATTCACCAGAGACTGAGTGGGAAGCAGAACAGGCCGACTGATGAAGTACACTGCTGAGGGGACCAGTGGGAGGATCAGGAGAGGTCTGCCGTGCCATGTGGGTCACCTCCAGGGTGGGGATGGAACTCATGAGGAAGTGGCTTTAGCATCTCAGTGCTGTGCTTTAACTCTCTGCACCACCAGGGAGGGCCCTCCTTGAAAATATGTTTTTTTTTTTTTTAATCTTCTTTCCTTTAGAAAGTCTTTAAAACTCACAGGTTATGGGCTTTTGGATAAATTCTGTAATGTTTTTAAAATTCTTGGTAGGGAGATAAGAACCCTAAGAATCTTAACTTAAGGTGGTGCTTTGTACTAATTATTACTGTTATTGGCCCCACTGATTCTAGAAATTATCTGAAGAAGGAAGTGTATTAATTTTAATTTATTTCTTCCTTTGCAAACTGTTTTATTTATGTCTTTTTTTTTAATAAGGGGAGAAAAAAATCTGTTTTACATCAATAAAATTTTCAGTATATTTTCACATAAATCTTAGTTTTTCATATGCCTAGAGTCCTGACATACAAGTGGTAAAAACGTAATGAATATGTGCAAGGGAGACTTCCTGATTCTTGCCGTGGGCGGAATTAGTTAATGATATTCATTCAGATGCAGGATGGTACAAATGGGGCATATTAAGAGGCTTAAATTAGGTCAAATTGAGTAATTGAATTTATTCCTTTACTTAAAAACAGCTTAATCAGCTAAGAGTGCTGAAGTCTAAAAAAAGTTTTAATTAAATATTAATAGGGAGTTTATGTTTCCAATTTTTATCTTCCTTTATAAAATGATTGTGTATGTTTTTCCTGCTTTGTGATCTTTTCTAGATACCTGGAGATGAAATTCAGCCCTTCACATTTGATGAAGAATTTGATTATGACTCTGTGATGCTCACCCCCAAGTTCACTCCTGCAGAGATAGATGCCATCAAAGAGCTACCCAAGCAAAAGAGAAAGACAAACACAGGCTTAGAGGAACCCTGTGACTGATTCACCAAGACATCTTTGTGTTTATTTTTATTTTGGTCTTACTCAAGCAACACTAGAATAAAAGATATGGCTGTTGCAGTCCCCTTTGTGGAATTGTGTGTGTGCATTGATTTATCAGAGATATTTGTCACTAGCGATATATAACTGAGATGACCAAAGAGCTCTCTGCCTTTACAGAATTCCCTTCCTCCATGTTGTTGTGGGAGCCCCATGACTGATAGAGAAGGTGGGGGGACAGGAAGCCACTGCTGCCTGAAGTCTGTTTTTGTAATCCCCCACTACAGCTGGGGGATGTGAGGCATTTTAGGAGAGACTAGAAATACCATGCTATCTCCCTGGAGGTGAAGAATAATTAATTGTACATGCAAAGCACATTGTACTGCACAGAGAGAAGAACTGATTTTGGGGATTAGTCTCTGGTCCCGGCTATTCAGAGATGGTGGGATGACTGTAGAAGTGAAGCTTCTGGAATTGACTGGGAATTGACTGAAAAAGAAGGCATCTGAGAGTTGATTGTATGTCATATATTGAATACTATGTTATTATCTTTGTCACATATGAGGATAGTTACAAAGTATAAGGAGTCAGTCTATGATCAGAAGCTTTAAATATAATTTGAGAAAGTAAGACATTGAGGAAACAACTAGACATGTAAATATTACCAAGTATTGTGGATGTTAATTGAGTTGATTACCCATAAGTGCATAAAGAGAAGGAGAAAGGGGTGAAGGCACAAAAGAAGGGGGACAATATGTAGCAAGTTTTTTTTTTATTATTATTAAAAGACTGAATAACAAATCAAAGGCACTTAGTTTTAATTAGTTTTTATGGCTTCCTTGCTTGGATACATGGGCATGTGTATATGTTCATAAAGTTGCAATTTATGTCCAAAAATGCTCTTTATCTAATGTTGTGGTACAATCAGGTGATTTCTGTATTGATTTTTTCTTACTTAGTCAACACACTGTTGTAAGATGCCATTTTTGTGCCAGTCCTGTTGCTGGGCAATGAGAAAGGTACAAGTAAATGACACATGGCTTGATTTTGTGGGGACAAGTGATGTATATAAAGATAATCATAGCAGAGCTGCTCTGTTCAGTGTAAGAAGCAGAGCTGCATGTGGTTATTAAGCAGTGTCTACATTTAAAATATAAATTAAAATGCATATGGGGTTTCATAGAATTAACATAAAAGTTATGAATAACTTGTTCTGTTTTTACATTGATTGCATGTTGAAAATGATATTTGGGGATATCTGGTCAAAAAAAATTATTAAAACTCATCTCTTTTTACCTTCTCAATGAGGCTAACTAGAACAATTAAGATTATACATGTGACTTGTATATTTTCATTTGACAGCAATGCATTAGAGAGTTATCTGTTGTAAGAGTGGAATGCTTCTGGGACAAAACAAGTAGGTGTTGTGCTGTATATCTATCTATCCAGCCAGCCATCCAGAGCCATCCAGCCAGCCAGCCATCCACCCAGCCATCAAGCCAGCCATTTTTACTGAGGTAACATTAGTTTACAGCACTGTATATGATTGGTTTACAACTCTCAGATATATGTCACCACACACATCACCAAAGCACCCACAAGCCCTTTATTATAACCACTGGCCCTTCTCCCCACCATATTTCTACCTTGTACCCCACCTCTAGGAACTTCAGTTCTGCAGTCATGTTTCTAGGGTTTGTTTTGGTGTAGTTTTGTTAGTTTTTGGTGTAGTTTCTTTTGTGCCTCGATATTCTACCTATGACTGAAATAACACAGTATTTGTCTTTCTCCATCTATTCATTTCATTTAGCATAACACCCTTCAGTTCCATCCATGTTTTAAAGGGCATGAGTTCATCATTTCTTTTATACCTGAATACTATTCTTAATCCTCTCCTCTCGTGGGCACTTATGTTGTTTCCATAAATTGACTATTGTAAATAATGCTGCAAAGAACCTAGGAATATATAAATCTGTCAATTTTAGTGATTTGTATTCTTTGGGTCAGGCCCGCGGAGTGGAATTGCTGGGTCATATCTTGAGGAATCTCCGTACTGTTTTCTATAGGGGCTGGACCAGTCTACACTTCCAGCAACGGTGTAGGAGACTTCCTTTTAGTTCTGGAATTATATTAATTCTGCCTCGTAGAGCTGGTGGATTTTCACAATGGAAATGGCTTTCTCACTTGATCATGAGAAAAGAGTGAAACTTTTGATACAATAGTTTGCGTGAGAAGTAAGAGCTCAAATGAAGGTAGTATAGATAGAACAGGAGGACATGGACTTGATTATAGAGATTTGGTGGCAGAAGTTGCAAGGATTGCTGATTGATGCAATGTGGGAATGATAGAGCAGTTATAAGGTTAAGAGGTTTTAGCTGACTTGCTGACTTGAGGAAAACAACTATGATGTGATATAATTAATTGTTCATGAAACTTGAAATTCCTTGATTCAATACATTTATAGCATTTGGAATTTTAAATAAAGACTTCACTATTTCTAAGACGTTGCCAATTTATGGATGAGAATAGATTTATAATTGAAGAAACAAAGCCATCTAAGTGTTTTAAAATAACTGCTTTTTAGTGTAGTTTTTCATTAACCAGACAGGGGTATGTCAGATGAATATTACCACAGAGCATTTTTATCGGTAGTATTGGTGGACTAGGTTTTGGCTACATTCCTTTTAGCAATTTTTTATTTGGGGCATTTGTGTATTTCAGCAAAAGTGACACTGGAAAATGGGTCTCTTAAAGCCTCTAAGTATAATAGTTTTTCTCAATTGTACTGTGATTATTGTCCTAATAAGCAAGTACTCCATAACTGCCTTTCAGCTTTATGAACCCCTTGAATTGGTGTAAATTGTTTGTTTTATGTTTTATGGCAAAACCTAACCAGTATTTTAAGAAGAAACCTGTGCTTATATTGATAGATAATACTTACCCAGAGCAGATAGTGGCAGCAGAGGTGACATTAATAAACAATAGAGGGTAAGAAAAAGCACCTGGTATTTACGACAGAATGGGAGGGAAGAGTATGAAAAATGTTAAAAGTATCTTGAAGTAATATGATAGTTGCACCACAGAATGGCTTGAGTGAAAACAATTGTGGAGAAAATTGAGTGGAGAAAAAAATTGGTGACACCAGTCTGAACTGGTTTCGTCTGGTTCCACCAGGATCCATTTTAGGGTAGCACGACTAGAGGAAGAATAAAAAATTCTCATATTACGAATTGCCTTCATACTTTCAGCAAGAATTCTCTTTTTTCATGAATCAGATAGAAGTACACCCTCATTAAAAATAATAACATTTCCACATGTACGAGGTGATTGCACAATTAACATGTGAAAACCAAAAAAAAATTTTTTTTGTTTCTTGGAAGTTAACAGCAAATGAATTCAATTGCAGGGGAATGGGGCAAGAAAGAGAATTATTGAGGGTTTTTCAGAAAAGTATTTCTATATATATGGAAGAGAACTGTACTCCCCATTTTCCCTACCCTGCCCTTATATAATATGGCTCCTATTTCTCTAACCTCACCTTGGCCCTTCTTCCTCATTTTTTATTCTGTTTTGCTCAGTTTGGATTCTTTTTTTGTTTGTATTTCCTTTCTTATTTCCACCTTAGGCCCTTTACACTTGTTCTTTCTGCCAGGATCCTTCTATTTACTAAGGTCTCAGGGCAACAATATCTCCTCAGTGTCTCTCTGACAGCCTTACTTAAACTAATTTCTTTCTCAGTCATCATTGCATACCCCTTACCCTACCTTGTCTGACAAATAGAACATAAGGTGTACAAAGGCATGGGCCTAGTCTGTCTCTTCCTTGCTGTATTCCCCAATATCTAAAAAGGACCTGGAGAAAAGTAGGCATTCAAGAAATATTTACTGAATGAATAAAATCTACAAGATATGAGCTATTTGTTCGTAGAACTTGGAGGTCTATCCATTTCATCAATTCAGTTGGTTGGATATATATAGTGTACTTTTAGATTCAAAGCATATTTAAATTTTCACCTCCCAGACTCAGGATTACTTGGCAGCCGGTACAAATTTGGGAAGGCCAGCCTGATTGGGTGGGCCTGTACCTCTTATAACACACTCTATCTTTGTCACACCCTGACCTTACAATTGAGAAAACAGAGAAACTTTTAGTTCTTATGGAGTGAACTTTCTTTCCAAAGCACGTCAAGAAAACTTCTCAGCCTTTCTTTTGCTAAGACTTTTTACATTAAAACTACTGAGAAATAATTCATGTGATACACAGATGTGCCAGTATTCTTCACTGGAAACTGGACTGATGACTAAATGAAAACTGGAAAGAGAAAAGAAAACAAGACATAGAGTCAAGTAGAAAGAAGAAAAGACCTATTTGGTAGTGCCATACAGAATCCTTTATGAATTCATTTAAAAATATTAACACTCAGAAGAGTCAATGAACTTGAGAAGTACGGAGTGGTGGCAAGGATCTCTGACACAGAGAAGGGATTGGCATTATGGTAGTGGGTCTCTGTTTGGGTTGTTTATGAAATATAAATATAAATATTTCTTGCTGCACTATTTACAATAGGGAAGATGTGGAATCAACCCAAATTCCCCCAAAATAGATGATTGGATCAAGAAGATGTGGTGCATATATACAATGGAATATTACTCAGCAAGCAAAAGGATAAACTCATACCATTTGTGGCCACATGGATGGAGCTGGAAAGGATCATGCTTAGTGAAATAAGCCAGAAAGAAGAAAAATACTAGATGGTTTCATTCATAACAGGAGTGTAAGGGATCAGGGGGAAAAATATATATATGTAGTAATTATAATAAAGTAAAAACTAACATCAGCTAACAACTATAAATGAGAGATATTCTATAGGGGTGGAGAGGGGAACAGGTTCAAAACTGGAGTAGGAAGAGCACACAAGACTATGGTAATGGCACATGGTGAAGTGGGGATTACAACTGAGATGAAAAAATGTACAAAATGAAGAATGATGTAAAAAAATATATGTGAGAAGCTTACTGCCCTTATTTATTTTTTATTTATTCTGAGGGCAGAGTATGGAGAAAATCTCGGAAGTACGAGGGGTGGCAAGGA